GGGAAGACATATGATAAATCCAATAAAAAGAATAATTTCCATATAAATATGATGAATTATGGCTCTGTCATTCTATATGAAGAAAATTTTAAAGAATTTTCATATATTTCTATGTGTTCCTGGTCGTTTTTCTGACACCGTTTTACCCCCGGCGAGATCAATTTCTCAAACTTTTATAGTCATATCTGATATAAATAGGTGGCTTATTAACAAAACGTGTTCATTTTTGTTGTTTTTTTTAAATCTTTTTTTAAAGATGCCACCAAATTTTCATGAATTCCCAAGCTTTCTCACAATGAGGGCGTTGCCCTTCATTTGAACAAACCTGAATCCCCTTTACCCAAGAATACTTTGTGGCAAGTTTGGAGGAAATTGGCCCAGGTTTTAAAAAGAAAAAAAAGCGAATCGAATTCAATTACATCATATCTCTTTTCGTCGTTTTCGCAGGGACAATAACTTTTATATTAATAAAAAAAAAATGAATTGCCAGACATATTTTTTGTTAAATCAATAAATATACTTTTTTCATTTTAATATTATCAAAAAAAAAAATAAATAAATATATTCTTCAGAGACCATGCAAGTTAATGACGTTATATTGAAACGTTTTAATCATATCAGAAATGGGAAAAGGTAAGTTTGTGCATCGAAAAACTCTATTGACATACACAGGTGTACATTTTGCAGTAATCAGAACAGATCAATGATTGTGCGGATTTCTCAAGATGCATATTATCCTTGTTACGCCTATACGTCTGTTACATAGATCAGCGATTAAATGTGTATCTTTACGTGTTTATAGTACTAGATCATGTTTATCTCGATTTATCAAATCACATACATGACGCAGGTTAATAAATTTAGTGTAAAATCTGGAAAATACATTCTAAAAATAAATAAATAATAAAAGATATATTGATATATGTAAAATTCTACTGATCAATATTTTTAAGGATCTAAGAATTATGTGATTTTTATTCTAATTGTTGATTTTCTTGTTATTTAATTAATTGGATAACCTTCTAATATCTTATAGCTATGCATTTTTAATATTCAAAACTCTTTCATTACATTTTTATATTATAAATATATTTGTATTGAATTAATTCAGTTTCAATAAAATTAAATATTAATCGTTTTCAAAAAAAGTGTTTTTTTACATCGATCATCCTCTCCCCCTCTCTTTCTCTCGCCTTTTTGAGGCTTTCATATCATATTATTGAGATGTAGTCAAATTGAAAAAATACATATATACATCTTTGAATTTAAATGTATTGCTAACAAATGGTTTTTTTTTTATTTTAATTTTTATTTTCAACTATATAATACATCATAACTAAGTTAAAATCAAGTGACACGCATCACGACTCGGTACTTCTGAAAAAATTATGATATTCAATATCTGGGACATTATCAAAGTAAAAAAAAAACTTCAAAATTGTTCAGAAACAAACCTTTTGGAGACTTGGAGAAGACATTTGATAAATCCAATAAAAAGAATAATTTAAGAAATACGAAACAAGACATCCCTGCTCTAGTTCGTTATTCTATATGAAGAAATCGTGTTTCATTGATGTCCGATCTGTTCCTGGTCGTTTTTCTGACACGCGTTTTCACTCAAGCGAGAAATTTCTCAGGTAACTTTTATAGTCATATCTGATATAAATAGGTAGCTTATTTACAAAACGTGTTGATTTTTGTAGTGTTTTGAAAGAAATCTTTTTTTTTTTAAAAGATGAGGTATGAAGTCAAGCTTTACACATAGGCTCATGACACGGGTTTGAAAAAAGAAAACAATTTGGAGATTATGTTTCCGGGTTGTCTTCCGTGACTCATATTCTCAAGGAGAGGCTTGGGGTTTTAAAAATAAAAAAAAAATTAAGCTAATTCCTTTACATTAAATATCTCTTCGTCATTTTCATAGAGGCAATATTTTTTTTTTAATAAACAACATTTGAATTTTCAAACCAATATTTTTAATATACTTGAAAATGCATTTTTGAGCATTATCAGGTAAACAGGATTGGATTAACTCTGAAAAGAATCGTTATTCAAAATTTGTAAATTTTAAGTAATGGTAAAATATTTGCTTTAAGATGATATATACTTGACTGAGTGGTAGTGAATATAAATAAGACAGACCACATCAACTACGAACCAGTACATACCGATTACTCAAGATGCATATCACCCACTTGTTACGTAAAATGTTCTGATTAAATTTATCTATTTATGCCGTGGAATATTCTTAACTTTGTGCATATACGAGCATGATCTGAAATAAAAACAAAAAAGTGATCATGGATGTCTTTTTATGACAAATCAAACGTATCACTATATATCATACATGTATAATGATTGATAAAAATGGGGAAAAAATATACAGTACATGTATATTACATGTATAAATGAAAAGCAGTTTTTTTTCGATCTGATTTTAAAATGTACTTGATGATCAGTTTTCAACTAGGAAATATATACATGTGTAGGTGGCACTTTTCTTTGCATTTCCTCAGATGATTCCCGGGGAGCTTCAAATAAAATATACCATAGAATCTGACACTTCTGTTTCATATTTAGATATTTTACTTCGTGAGATCTATGGTCGATACAATGACCTTGTCAGCAGCTACATTTATCATTGAGTCAAATGCTGCTGACGTTTTCAATTTCGTTTACCCTTTGTAAAGCCATTATTTAGACACTGAGTTGATAACGGATTTTTCCGTTATTTCCCAATCATGACAAGGTGCACACTGCGGGTGTGACCGATCGGCAGGGTATGCTTACTCCTCCATGACACCTGATCCCACCTCTGATATTTCGGAGGTCCGTGTTTGCTCTGCTCATATTTTAAATTGTTTAATGGACTCTTGATCTTAAATACTGCTCGTTTTGTCCATATATATTTTATTGAATATTTTTCTTTGATAATATGATTACTAATGATGATGGACTTTGAAGAAAACTTACAGACTCGAACAGAAATTACTGTTGTTTAAGTTCATTTGGAAAACATAATAGTAGTTTTTTTTAATATCTTCTCCTAAAATATTGTTAAGGACAATACTTTAGTTCGCATCAAATGATGTCATTTATTGTAAAAAAAAAAAAATTATCTGAAGATCACTCTAAACCCGTGAAACAACAATGGAACCGGAACTGTTCACTTCCAGTATTAGATATACAGTGAACCTATGATATTACAGGGTCATGCAAATATAGGACTTCTTTTATGTAGAAAGACTCAGTAACTAAATATTGAACACAAAAAATAACATATCTCTTATTTTGATAGGTTTTCATTCTGTATATCATTAAGGTCTTCCGTTTCCAACGGAAGACCTTCTACTGATTCTGTTGGTAAAGATTATTATTTAGGGTCTTCCGCTTCCTTCGGAAGACCCTACTGTTATTCTATTGTTTCTTATTATTCTTTTTTTTTTCCCGCTCGACTTTTGACAGGCGATTTCTCGAAGACCTTTGGACTGATCGTTATGAAACTTTACATAGATAGCTATGTAGTTAAACCTCTTTAAACCTGTTTTCAGTTTTTTTATGCATGCCTTTATTTGTGAGTTATTGCCCTTTAATTGAAAATTTTTGATGTCTCGTTTCCACTGAAAATCTCAAAAATGACATAAGATATTTACACGAAAGTTGGAAAACTTGTAGCCAATACATTGTAGATGTGCACAACGATAAAATTATATAGCTGATTTCTTAAAGTTTGGAAGCTATAAAACGGCAAATTTTAGTAATTTTTTTTTCTTTGAATTTTTGCTACTTTTTGTGTAATAACTTTTAAACCGAGAATAATTTGGTAAGAAATATATCACAAAAGTTGTGGGTAATTACGAGAGCTTTCATATTTGATTTACGAAAAGGGGCTGGCCCCTATAATTAGGGGTTAATAGCTCATACACGCTTTTTTCTGATAGCTAAAAATATTGGTATATTATGAAAAAGTTTTTAAATAATTTCGAACTTATAAAATCTTGTCATTTGATATAAAAAGAAATAAACTTCCAGCTATATTTAATTGTTTTTTTACATAAAACAAGTACGTGTATGTGAGAAACTTTTCAGGAACAAGTTGTCTACTATATCCAGCCAAGCCTTTACTGCATACATGTGCACATTTTTAGTTGATGCATCTAAAAGATATAGTTTTGATTCGGTGTTTCTTTGTTTTCTTTTTATTCAAATAATTTTGAAATGTGATGATGTACACAACAATAATTAGTACCTAGTTTAGAGGATTTTTTCGCGCTTGTTTGTAAACAACGCGCGGCATTGTGGGAAATAGGAAGGTATATAGACGCATGTACCTGCACACTGATTTATATTCAAATTTGTCTGTAAATGTTCCAAACAATTGAATTTTTGTATAGCATATGCCTTCATAAAGTCGTACATAAGTAATTTAAAATACTCAATATTACCATTTAATTAAAAATTAAAACGTCAGGTAAATATCAGGTCTTATAGCCTTTTTTTCGTCTAAGTTCTATGGAGGATACAAAGACCTTGTAAGCAAAGGTAATTTATTATTAAGTCAATTATATTAAATTTTGACTGACGTTTTTCATACTAATTGTTCAGCCATTATATAGACAAAAAGTGATTCCGGTTTTGAGTATTTCCTTTCATGACAAAATTTACACGGCTTTGTGACCAGACAAAGGCTCAAGACGGATAAAGCTGGAGCTTCCAATTCTACTGATTTTACCTTTGATGTTTGAAGTTGTGCATATCGGTTTTTGTTTTTCATGTTTTGTATTGTTTATATTGGGGTCAAAAATTAGAACGCTTAAAAGAGCCATTATACTGCTATTTTGCTTTTTATATTTTATTGAAAATTTTTTTCTAAAATATATAACCATGATGATGGACTTTGAGAAAACTGAAATGATATCTCGAAAAAATTACTGTTGTTTAAGGGATTTGGAAAACATAATAGTTTTTTCAGTATCTTCTCCTAAAATATTGTTAAGGACAATACTTTAGTTCGTTTCAAATGATGACATTTATTGTAAAGAAAAATTATCAGAAGATCACTCTAAACCCGTAAAACAACAATGGAACCGGGACTGTTCACTTCCTGTATTAGATATACAGTGAACCTATGATATAACAGGGTCATTTAAATATAGGACTCCGTTTATACAGAAGGACTCAGTATCAAAATATTGAACACAAAAAATATCACATTCCTTATTTTGATAGGTTTTCATTCTGTATATCATCGTAGCATCTTATTGTTAATTCATACATTAATTAAGAATTAATTAACAGTCTTTGTAATTTTAAGGAAATCGTGACAACTAACCCCTCTATCGATTTTCTCACTGCATTGACAACAGGATGAACATTTTGCTTCATAAGATTTTATCACAGTATTATTCAAAATAAAAGATATGTTTTTATTGCAGAGTTGAATTCATTATATAGGTAGTCAGGGTATCACGAATGCAAAGGAGCTACTAATGGTGTCTGCTCTTGGACAAGGTTCGGAGTATGCTCGCTGTCACGTGACACAAATCCCGTGTCCTCTCTACTGAGTAGAGAAGCTCGATTGTTGTCACTTTCCGTATTTATTTGTGCTACTGACCCAGCTTCATTATTACTTTGACGAGATACATTTCCGTTTTCGTCTGCTGAAGAAACATCCCTAGAGTTATCTTCGGAATTTTCGCCATTTTCACTATAAACGTCACTGATGAATTTTTCTAGTTTGCCATACAATTTGTTTCTTTTTCCGTGAAACAAGTTAATTTTCCTCATTCTGCTTAAGGCAAACATCCGTCGCCGTGTGATAGCGTCGACCCACTTCTCAAAGTTCTCCTTACGTTGAACAATGGCCGCTCGTTTTTGTTCCAGCATGTATTCAAACGCTTTCTTCTCTTCATCTGTTATAAATAAATCAGGGTCATATTCATCGAGATCATTTTCTTCCAGGGCCAAAGCTTCTTGTAAAACATTAACTGGGACTTTGTCACTCGGTTTTGTATCATTTGCAGTAGATTTAGTATTGTCATTATTATTTGTTTCCACGGTATCTTGTTCACTCTTTGTTATGATATCATTTCCGTTTTTCACGTCACTTCCTGTCGGATCGCCATTTCCGGTTATGTTAGATGAACTTTGTGTACTCATGCTGGATTTCTCTTTCTTGAGTGAGATTTTGGAGTCTGTTAGCGTCCGTTCCTTCATCCTACTGCTTTCCGTCGGCCTCAACAAGTCTGTCATCTTTAATCTTAAAATAGAAAATGTCGGTCATCTTTAAACTAAAAATAGAACAAGTCTGCCATCTTTAAGCTGAAAAAAAGAACAAGTCTATCATCTTTAATCCAAAAATAAAATAAAAAACAGGTCGTTATAATTATGTATTTCATGAAATAAAATAAGAAGTGTTTATATGCATTTTAAGTATTTCAATAAACTGAATTAAATGACCAACAAGCAAAAGTATTTCTCTCCCCTTTCTATATTTCATTTGATTTTATAGTTAGGTGTATATATGCATAGTTACTTAATGTAAAATCTTTAAGACCTTTGATTTAATTTGTTAAAAATATGTTCTAATAGATTTTATCACAAGTTGTTTGAATTATTTCTTTCTCGGCTTTATACCGTAGTTATGAATTTACATATACATGTTCAGCCATTGAGTAAGAGTTTGAAAGTATCAACTTACCCTCATTGTGCAAATCTAATGCGTATTACAAGACATCCATATGTCAACTAAAGCCTACACCAGACAGGCATATAAAACCCAGAGTTAATATAATGTATACCCAAATAATTAATGTATAGACCTGATCGATATTTAGACGTCTTCCACTGTGTAATGTTATTTATTAAACTCTAATAATGAAGTCTGGGAAATATGAGAAAATTTAAAATCTAACACCAATACAAAACAACCCTTCATGACAGAATGAAGAATTCCTCTTACATTTAAATCTTTAAATCAAGTCAATGAATGATGTCTTTGGAACTTACACACCTTAAGAAATATCTTTTAATACAAACATTAATGTCAGTCCAGTAAATTATTAAAGGGAACCTTGAATCATTTTAAACAGAAATGTATACCCTAATACTAGATGGTTACGTTTAACTTATTTTATGAGAAAAAATTCAGTTAAAATTAGCCAACTTTTTTGCATGTTTCTGATTTAGATTTTGCAAATTTTCAATCCTATTAATGTACACCATCAATGAAGAAACAACAAATTTTTGTTACTTTTTCAAAAATATTAAAGTGAAAACAGTGTTTTGTTTCTGCATGTACTCACCTTATTTTTCTATTTTTGTCACAGTGAAAATGATTGTTTATAAAAAGAAATATTTGTTCACTGTAAAGTTTTAAAATTATGATCTTAGTATATTTATAATTAAGACGGCTAATCTGGTGAAACTGCTAATCCTTTAATGACCCGGTCCACTAACACAGATTATTACAAAACCGCTGTATAGGACGAGCACCTGTTTAAACTGACCTTAGTCTGCAAGTGTTATAGACAGATTATATCTACACATTGCACTTCATCTGCACTTAATCTTTTTTTCAATCCATATTCCTAAATACAATAGTTTTTTTTCTCAAGTGTTAAAAAGCAATTTAAGAAATAGGGACATGGAACACGGAGGAGTATAATGAAAATGAAGCTTTTTTGGGAGTTTTATAAAAAGACAATATTTGTTCACTGTAAAGTTTTAACAATTTGTTCATGTCATTTTCTTAGTATATTTTCATAATGTAAGTAAATGTAATGATAAAGTAATCTTATTTTGAATATTAGATTTCGTGTACAACTAAATTATAAAGAACCTGAAACGTTTTTCGTAATGGAACTCATTCTTTGTGTAGCGGACTAACACAGAGATAGAACCGATTTATAGGAGGAGCACCTGTTTAAACTGACCTGACGGCAAGTAAATGTTTTCAAACTTTTCATGAACATTTTCTTGGTTTACACATCAATGCATAAAAACTTTAGGAAACATTTTACACTTAATCAGCAGTTTTTTTCGGTAAAACCATATAAATATTAAAACAAAAAACGGACACCGATATTTTCGTAAAATACAACAAAATAAGTATTTTTTTAATAAAAGGAAAACCTGTTAAAAAGATAATGTTTACGCCCACAAACTCTCACATATACCACTTTTTATGTTTTGTCATTAAATACATGTATTTGTTTTTAACTTAGTATTGTGTTTTTTCTTCACAATATTAAAAAAGATTAAGTTCTGACGTACACCATGTATAATGTTCGTGTAATTGAAATACATTTATATTCACAGAGAAGTTTAATATGACAAACCTGTTAGCTCTTAAAAGGATGCTGTGTTAAAATCCACATTTTATTAACATTGATATTATTCCTGCGAAACTGAAATTTTCATAACACATAGGTAAAGGTGCAAAGGAAAAATATAGTGCAAATCTGAAGACTGTTAGCCGTGAATTATATAACCGATCAACCGCCTCTAATATAAATATAATGGCAGCGTCCACATTTTGCAATGGGAAACCCAAAATATGTGTAGGATGAACAAGTAATAGAAGAAGCAAAAATATGTAAATTGTTTTGTAAACATGTATAAAGCTAACAAACAGATGGACGGTATGAATATGTTTTTCAAGCAGGATGAAAAAAAAAACTAATGTAGGCAGGCAAGCATTATGGCCTAAATTATTTTGCTATTCAGTGTCTCTAAATGTCTTTCTCAAGATTGTTGCAACAAAAAATCTGAAACAGTTGTCTATTAAACAAACCTCCTAATCAAAGATTTTAATGACACCATGTTCAATTCACCTCCCATGAGTGCTTTCAGTACTTTGATTTTTTATATACCTATGAATTATAAATTCCCTTGAGTCCCAGACGGTTTCTAGATAACATGAGAATCATCTTAGAAATAACGATGATTTTTTTTTTTAAATTGTAAATTGTTTTACATGTATTTACAGTATGAATATGTTGAAATGAAAACAGAAGTATAAAGACAACGAAAAATGAACAAAAAAATTGTATAAACAAAACAAATCTTTGAAGAGGGCATAAACACGAACTCAGGAAATTCCACAGGAGAATGTTGATCAAATATAGATGTGTTGATCAAATATAAACAGGCATGACAGTTTTTGTAATATCTTCTATTTCAAGTTCACAGTGTCTGAACCCAATGGGTCCGTAATCTCAAATTGTCAAAATACACAGAAAAGATAATTCAATACATATTTCATTGAGAGTTTTATTTTTATTGTATTACACAGTCGCCTGCTCAAATTCGAATACAAGTCAGTCAGACCCACGGGAGTAAGAAAATCTTATGTGAATATTTAAATTAATGACAAAGAGCACATAGCGGGTGTGATCAGCAGGGGATGCTCACTCCTCCATGGCACTTGATCCTACCTCTGATGTTTTGTAGGTCCGTGTTTACTTTGTTCCTATTTGTATTGTTTTATGAACTTTTGAGCTTGAATACTGTTCGTTATCTCCATATGTTTTATGATTTCATCATTCACGACTTTCCTCAACCGCATTGTCAATTTCATCGAACAAGATAATACATAATTATGCCACTTGTATACGTATTAATGAAAATTTCAATTTAATCCAAGTAACAAATATAGACATCGTAAGATTATCTCCTTTGGTAGTCAAATGCAAAGATTTTTATTTGATTAATGTGCAACACTCCAAGAATTAATCTGGATTCGTGGTCCGATGAAAAGCCAAACTAAAATCATCACGGAATAGAGTAAAATAGGTGGAAATCACATCTGTATCTTAAAAGTTAGATCAAAGATTTCTATTATATTCTGTAATCGACAACCAATTCAATAAATTGATAAATGAAAATGATGATACAAACTTTTAATTTATAAAACATTTTCAGAATCAAAATTAATCAGTAATTAACAGAAAACATGCATTAATTTCATACCTGTTGTCACTCTGGGATCATGTAATTTCCTCCGTGTATAATAACTACTGACCTAAAGACGAAAAGAAAATCGGTTTATTTTATCATGCAAAATTTTAAGTAGCCCTTTAAAAGTTTAAATCCCGTTAATATTGCTTTCCATTTCTTATTATAAATATGACTACCTGTGCTAGACCTATAAAAATTTAAAGTTAACAGACTTCGCATACATACTTGTACAAAAGTTGAAAGAAGCACATGGGTTATATGTATGTGTAACTAATTTGATTCTTTGAAAGATATAAACCACAATTGTTATACTTCAATATATGTCCCATAACACCTGATCCCACCTCTGACGTTTTGGAGGTCCGTGTTTGCTCTGCTCCTATTTTGTATTGTTTTAAGGACTTTCGGTCTTGAATACTATTCGTTATCTCCATATGTTTCACGGTATGAATATTTTCCAAAAATTTCAAAATTGAATATTACTGTAAGTATTGAAAAAAAACATTGACATGTATCTTAAAGCTTATGATAGTAAGCCAAACGGGTTTTTTTTTTTATTTTAGTTCACTATGAATTATGGGGAACGACGTAAGGATCTACAGTCATATCTTAATTTGTATTCATATGAAACGGAATCTGTTCAGAATCTTATATAAAGAAGAAAACACTTGCATTGTCCTCCAACTAAATCAACTGGTCTACAGGAGATGCTTCCTCCTTCGTGGCACCTGATCCCTTCTCTGAGGTTTTGGAGGTCCGTGTTTGCTCTTCTCGTATTTTGTATTGTTGCATTGTTGTATTGTTTTATGAACGTTTAATCTTGAATATTGTTCTTTATCTACATATATTTCATTAGATAAAGCGACGACTTATTGTCAATTAACAATATTATAATAATTTCCATTTAAGAAGATACGATATATCCAGGTGAGCTTGAAATTAAAGATACCACAGAGTCTGACACACTGTTTCTTCTCTTAGATTTGTCGACAATTTTCCGTTATTTCCCAATCATGACAAGTAGCACCCTATGGGTGTGACATGTCGGCATGAGATGCTCACTCCTCCATGGCACCTGATCCCATCTCTAATGATTTTGAGGTCCATGTTTGCTCTGCTCGATAATTTGTAATATTATACTTTCATGTAAATAAATTGAATCTGATTGGTCGAGAAACATTTGTTAAAAAACACTATTACCCGCTGAATAATGAAGCCACGCCCTCAAGCGTAGCAACAGTCAACAGTGCTTGACGACGGGTGATATTCCAAAAAATAGCGATTGCGCAGAATTTATGCGCGCATTTGTATAAAACATTCAGTATAATATAATATAATAAATAATGCATGTAGTTGATTGTAACATTGAAAATTTTCACCCCTCGAAAACATTGCGCCTCGGTTGACAATGGTTTTCTTGGGGTGAAAATTTTCAATGTTACAATTAACTACATGCAATATTTATATATTGTTTAGTGGACTTGAGCTTGAATACTGTTCATTATCCGGTATCTCAACAGATTTCATTATGCTGAGAAATATTTCCATTAGTTTATTATTCATGTAAATATAAATCATAGAATATTAATACAATATGAAAATTTTAAAATGAAATGAAATATTCATAAAGACAAATATTAGTATAAAAAATACTTTAAAACATTTTATGAACCATAGTATTTTTTATAATCAGTGAGAAAGTGTTTCATAAAACTAATGAAATAAGTAACGCCTCCTTTTTTTTATGTACACTTAAACCTCCACAGGTAGATAAGCCTTTAGCTTATCAAAATTAAACTAAATAGTGTCGCATTTATTTCATTGATTATTTTTCCCTCAATTATTTATATTAGTATTTTTCGAGGATGAATTTATGAGGGGTTATCATTGTCTATGGACTTTGGTATTAAATACTATAAT